ATGTTTCAGTTCATTACGTTTTAATTTCGTTGCATCTTTTTAGGAAGAAAACAAAAATCTTACTATAGAAGTTGACAGTATTTTCATCGATTTGCATTTTTTTTTAAAGAAATTACGTATTTTACACGCTATATCAATAAATAATTTATTCTGAAATACATTTTACATTTCATTCATTACTCTTGCCAAGCATAATACTGTTCTCTAAAGACGTTTCATCAAAAAAGACATTTTTAATAAAACATTTGTCCCTTCAGTCATTCTCGATCCAGCGATACATATTAAACGACGATCAAGACGAACTTTTTGTCGAAATACACGCGAAAGAAAATTCATTACCACGTCGAACTTTCCTCGAAACTTCGTTCCGCTGGTGAATATAAAAATTCAAGGACCGTAGGCCACGGCGAAACTTTTGTTCGTCACTCGTCGTGTACGAAAAAATATTTGCCAAAGCGACGAGGATGAAATTACGGAAATTAAAAACAAACTGTCGGAAAACTTCGCCAAGTAACGACAAAGTGTTCCTCAGCTTCGAAAGAAAAAAAAAAGGAAATAGCGATTCCGGCGATATCGCGACGATAAACATGGTTCAACTCTAGCAAACTCTCTCTCCCTCTCTTTCTTTCTTCGCTTTCCTTGCTCTCCTTGCGATTGGATATTTATCAGGATTCAAAGGAAAAAGTAGTTTTCGAGAGTGTTGGAGACCTGTCGATCGGGCGGAGGTGGAAGAGCCGTTACTTTGCAAACAGCGTGAAACGTTGTCGACAGGGGGTAGAAGGAGGAAGGGAAGATGGGATCGGGTTCTTTGACGCGACGCGCGAATCGGAAAGTTGGCCGATTCTATCCCTACGGCGTTTCTGTTTTTCCAACGGGGGGGACGCCGGGATACATGGGACGGCGTTGCGCTCTAGCAAGTAGGTATCCCGGTGGCCTCGGTACACGAAATTCCCGTTGAACGATATTGGTCAGGCCGCGGTAAACTTGGAAACTGGATCCGCGCTCTGATGAAAGAGAACCGATCTAAAACTGGTAACTACTTACGTTTCGGGCCAAAAGTTTCCCGTAAGTGATGTGGGCCGGCACGTGGTCAGGCTGGCTGGCCAAACTCGCCTGGAACCACCTTTCCGCTTCCGCGTACTGTTGCAGCCTCGACAGAGTTTCTCCCAGCAGATTGTAAACGCTCTGTAAAACAGGGTCGATCGTCAGACCACGTTTCCTCCACAGTCCCTACCTCACTCTCATTTTTTCCTTCTTTTTCCCTCTCTCGCTCACTTTTCTATATGTGAATGGATGAATTTTCTTTCTCGGCGTTTATACCTCGATCCTCCCTTCACACCGCGAAAGACGAAGCGATCTTCGAAACGAATTGGAGCATAATTAATTCGTTATTATCGCATCCACCGATTTTTTTTCACTGCGCGGGATAATACAGGATGTCCATAAAGTCTCTTTACAATTTGAAAAATTTATTACAAAGGCAAATGAAAAGACAGATAAGTGAAAATTATTACAAAATAAGAAGTATATACTTAAGTTTTTTCCTCTTATTTAACACACCTCTGTATGGACACAATTAATTGCATGAAGCACATCAAGACGGTACTCGATTTCTTACACAATCGATGTTTTCCTCAGATGTTCTTGGTCGTTCAATCCTTCCTTTATCGAACGCTGTCCCTGTCTCTATAAATTTCTTGCCATGCACGAATTCATGGACGAGATGGTGAGTATCTTTCATACTTAATTCTGAAGTTTCGCCGAATCTGCAGATCCGATTTGGTTTCAATAAACCATGATACACACTGTGCCTCCTTTCGAGGAGTAGCCATTTTGTAAGGGGATTAACAGTACTTTATTCATCAACAGGGTACCTGAAATGCAATGTGATAAAAACCATGATGACAACTGAGAACAAATCTGACGAAGATATCTCATCAATTGCCTTTGTAATAAATATTTGAAATTCTGACCAGACTTTATGGACACAAACATGGGATTAAGTCAAAGATATCTTGTATCGAACAAAGGTACGAGACATCACAAATCTAAAGCAGAGGATCACTGACGCCATTACCACCATTGATGAGGGTACGATACAGGGAATATGGCAAGAAATCCAGTTCCGTCTTGGTGTGATAAGTGAAACTAACGACGCCAATATACAGGTGTATTAATGAGGCAAAAGAACATAAATACATACGCTTCATTTTGAAATAATTTCTATATATCGGTCTTCCATTTGCATTTGAAATAAATTTCTGAAATTCTAAAAAAACATCATGTGCAAGCAGGAAAATATGTTAAATTTCTTGAATGGATAATCCTGAACAATGAATAAGTCATTCGCAGAATTTGAGATTTTGTGTATCAGGAGAACATGATGTCCGAGGAGCGGAAACGACAAAAACCTGGATCTAGCTGCGCTCCTGATATTTCAGAAAATTCCACAAAACTATAACAGGCTAACGTCACCGAAACCGCATCGTCTTTCTAGTTGAAATTCCAGATTTCGTATTAGCAGGACATGAAGAACGAGTAGGTGGCACGACAAATTCCTGGATCTAGCTGCGCTCCTGATAATTCAAATAATGTACAAAAGTTTAAGCGCTAATATCTTGGAAACCACAATGTCTTTCTAGCTGAAATTCGAGAATCTGTATCAGGAGAACATAAGGCCCGAGGAGGTGGCACGACAGAATCCTAGATCCGGGTGGGTTCCTGATATTTGAGATTTTCGATAAAAGTTTAAGAGTTAAAACCATGGAACCGCAATTTCTTTTCAGATGAATTACAAGAATCTGCATCGGAATAGCATGATGACAGAGGAGGTGGCAGAGAAAATTCCGAGATCTAGCTGCGCTCCGAATATTTCAAACTTTAAACAAAAGTTGAGGCGCTAATATCTTGGAAACCGCAAATTCTTTCCAGCTGAATTTCGAGAAACTGTATCAGGAGAACATGATGTCCAAAGAGGTGGCACGACAAAATTCTGGATCCGGCCGTGCTCCTGACATTTCAAATATTATACAAAAGTACAAGAGCTAATATCTTGGAAACAGGAATTTACTTCCAGCTGAATTTCGACAATCTGTATCAGGAGAACAACAGGCCTGAGGCAGTGGCACGACAGAATCCTGGATCCGCCTGTTCTCCAAATATTTCAAATGTTCTACAAAAGTTTAAGCGCGAATATCTTGGAAACAGCAATTTAATTTCTAGTTGAATTTCGAGAAACTGTATCAGGAGAACATGGTGTCCAAGTAGGTGGCAGGACAAAATCCTGGAACTAGCTGTGCTCCGGATATTTCGAATATTCTACAAAAGTTTAAGAGCTAATATCTTGGAATCTGCAATTCGTTTCAAGCTCAGTTTCGAGAATTTGTATCAGTAGAACATGATGTCCAAAGAGGTGCCACGACCAAATCCTGGATCTAGCTGTGCTCCTGATATTTCAGATATTCTACAAAGTTTAAGAGCTAATATCTTAGAAATCGCAATTTCTTTCCAGCTGAATTTCGACAATTTGTATCAGTAGAACATGATGTCCAAGGAGGTGGCACGACCAAATCCTGGATCCAGCTGTGCTCCTGATATATCGAAAATTCTACAAAAGTTTAAGAGCTAACAGTTTGGAAACTGCAAATTGTTTCTAGCTGATTTTCGGGCATTTGTATCAGGAGAACATGGCGTCCGAGGAGGTGGCACGGAAAAATCCTGCATTGAGCTGTGCTCCTGATATTTCGAATACTCCACAAAAGTTTGAGAGCTAATATCCTCGAAACTGCAACTTCCTTCTAACTCAATTTCGAGAATTCGTATCAGGAGGACATGATGTCTAAGGAGGTGGCACGACCAAATCCTGGATCTAGCTGTGCTCCTGATATTTCGAATACTCTACAAAAGTTTAAGAGCGTATATCTTGGAAACTGCAACCTGTTTCTAACTGAATTTCGAGAACCTGTGTCAGAAAAACATGGTGTCCAAGGAGGTGGCACGACAAAATACTGTATCTAGCTGTGCTCCTGATATCACAAATATTCTACAAAAGTTTAAGCGCCAATATTTTGAAAACCGCAATTTCATCCCAGCTTAATTTCGACAATTTGTATCGGTAGAACATGACGTCCAACGGGGAGGAACGGAAAAATACTGCATTTAGCTGTGCTCGTGATATTTCGAATACTCTACAAAAGTTCAAGAGCTAATATCTTGGAAACTGCAATTCGTTTCTAGCTCAGATTCGAGAATTTGTATCAGTAGAACATGATGTCCAAGGAGGTGGCACGACCAAATCCTGGGCCTAGCTGTGCTCCACATATTTCGAATATTCTACAAAGGTTTAAGAGCTAATATCTTGGAAACTGCAACTTGTTTCTAGCTGAATTTCGGGAATTTGTATCAGGAGAACATGACGTCCGAGGAAGTGGCACGGCAAAATCATGGATCTAGCTGTGCTCCTGATATTTCGAATATTCTACAAAGGTTTAAGAGCTAATATCTTGGAAACTGCAAATCGTTTCTAGCTGAATTACGAGACACTGTATCAGGAGAACATGATGTCCGGGTAGGTGGCACGACAGAATATTAGATCTAGCAGTGCTTCTGATATTTCAAACTTTGTACAAGTGTTTAAGCACTAACATCTTGGAAACAGCCATTTCTTACTAGCTGGATCTCGAGAATCTGTATCAGGAGAACATGATGACAGAGCAGGTGTCACGACAAAATCCTGGATCTAGCTGTGCTCGTGATATTTCGAATACTCTACAAAAGTTTAAGAGCTAATATCCTGGAAATCGGAATTTCTTTCTAGCTGAATTTCGAGAATTTCTATCAGTAGAACATGAAGTCCGAGGAGGTGGCACGACCAAATCCTGGATCTAGCTGTGCTCCTGATATTACGAATATTCTACAAAAGTTAAAGACCGAATATCTTGGAAACTGCAACCTGTTTCTAACTGAATTTCGAGAAACTGTGTCAGGAAAGTATGGTGTCCAAGGAGGTGGCACGACAAAATCCTGTATCTGGCTGTGCTCCTGATATTTTAAATATTCTACAAAAGTTTAAGCGCTAATATCTTGAAAACCGCAATTTCTTTCCAGCTTAATTTCGAGAATCTGTATCAGGGGAACATGATGACAGAGCAGGTGGCACGGCAGAATCCTGCATCCGTCTGCGCTCCTAATACTTCAAATATTCTACAAAGTTTAAGAGCTAATATCTTGGAAATCGCACCTTCTTTCTAGCTGAATTTCGAGAAACTGTATCAGGAGAACATGATGTCCAAGGAGGTGGCACGACCATATCCTGGATCCAGCTGTGCTCCTGATATTTCGAATATTCTACAAAAGTTTGAAGGCTAATATCTTCGAAATTGCGAATCATTTCTAGCTCAATTTCGAGAATTCGTATCAGGAGAACATGATGACAAAGCAGGTGGCACGACCAAATCCTGGATCCGTCTGTGCTCCAAATATTTCAAATATTCTACAAAGTTTAAGAGCTAAAATCTTGGAAATTGCAACTTGTTTCTAGCTCAGTTTCGAGAATTTGTATCAGTAGAACATGATGTCCAAGGAGGTGGCACGACCAAATCCTGGATCTAGCGGTGCTCCTGATATTTCAGATATTCTACAAAGTTTAAGAGCTAATATCATGGAAATCGCAAGTCCTTTCCAGCTGAATTTCGACAATTTGTATCAGTAGAACATGATGTCCTTAGAGGTGGCACGACCAAATCCTGGATCTAGCTGTGCTCCTCATATCTCAAATACTCTACAAAAGTTTAAGCGCTAATATCTTGAAAACCGCAATTTCTTTCCAGCTTAATTTCGAGAATCTGTATCAGGAGAACATGATGACACAGCAGGTGGCACGAACATATCCTGGATCTGGCTGTGCTCCTGATATTTCGAATATTCTACAAAAGTTTCAGAGCTAATATCTTGGAGACCGCAATTTCTTTCTAGCTGGATTTCGAGAATCTGTATCAGGGGAACATGATGACAGAGCAGGTGGCATGACAGAATCCTGGATCCGTCTGTGCTCCTAATATTTCAAATATTCTACAGAGTTTAAGAGCTAATATCTTGGAAATCGCAATTTCTTTCTAGCTGAAATTCGAGAATTTGTATCAGTAGAACATGATGTCCAAGGAGGTGGCACGACCCAATCCTGGACC